GATGATATTCATCAAAAGACAAAGGGATGGTTGTAGTTACAGCTATGTTCTCGTGCACTCGAAGGTGCATGTAATGCGCCCGGAGTGTGGCACTCGATACCCCCTGCCATCGAGCAACCGACGGCAATAAATTGGGGCATTTCAGTATTATGAAGTTAGACATCCACTTACGATACCAATTATATGAAGGATTAAGTTTTAGACAGTCTTGCGACAGTGCATCTCCGGACTGTGTACAGAACAAATACTTGCTGTTTCTCCTTTGGGGGATATCCGAACGGTACTTCTCAACGAATATACGAAGAATTCGTTTGGTGCCTTCTCGGGGTTTCAACAACAAGTCACCGTAGGTACGATCAGTTTTATACGACCGAAGCTTGATTAGGGCGCTGCTGCCATCTAACACATCCCGCACGCGGCTGAACAACACTAGCATAAGAGCACCTTTCCGTAAAATTGGTTCATTGACCGCCAGGATACGCAGCAAGTAGCACGCAGCCTCCGTGTAGCACATGCTGCCTGACTCAAATGACGGGAATTCCCGTCTAATGTCAAACATAACACGGGAGTGGTCCATGTTTAACAATTCCTCCCAGTATGCCACAGAACGATGTTTGCGGCTTGCTATGTTGTAACACGCGCCCTGCAACTCACTTGCTCGTTGCCGAGCCAACATTCCCGCCTGGATACCAGAAACGCTTTTGATGTGATGCCGGATGTACATTCCGAGATTCAGCACGATGGTCTTCTCCCGTGACAAACTGTAGTTGAGTCGCGCAATGTCTTCCAAAGTTTCCTCAACATGGTCTGTGCAGGCCAAATACTCGATGAAGTCTGACTCCGAAATAAAGTTTATTTGCTTGGAATGTTGGACAAGATCGGCTATCATTTGAATCTGGCGAATGGCGTCGTCTGACGTTGATTCACGGACGCGTCGTCGATGTACAAGTGTGACATGAAGCGGCGTACTCCGAAACTTATACTTTTCTCGTCGACCATGATGGGGTCGAGTTACGTAGGGGGCATAACGGGCAGCTGTTTGGCTGACACGTTGCTTGCGACATTGGTATGGGTCATCGTAATCACTACTGCTGTCCCTGCGTTCATCCGGATGTTGCAACGGCAGCGGTTGGTACGGGACATGGTAGTCGTCGTCTGACGTGTCGTCGTCATTTTTGGATGATAACTCGGCGGC